CGGGGAGAGCGGATTCCCGCCTGGGCACTCCGCCCTCCTCCCAGGGCTCCGGCCGCCCTCCCGGCCGCCGGGGAGAGCGGATTCCCGCCTGGGCACTCCGCCCTCCTCCCAGGGCTCCGGCCGCCCTCCCGGCCGCCAGGGAGAGCGGAGCCCCGAACGGGGCTCCCCGCCCTCCCCGTAGCGCTCTGGCCGCCGGGGAGAGCGGAGCCCCGGCTGGGCACTCCGCCCTCCTCCCAGGGCTCCAGCCGCCCTCCCCTGCCGCGCTGACAAAAAAGCCAGAGCCGGCCCTGCCACTGAACCAAAAAAATCTATAACATTCGGTAGAACCTACTAAGCTTATCCGACAGATCGTCAGTTGGGTCCACTTAATATGCCTGCCCCTTGACACCCATTATATAAGAGTTTTTATACCTGCTCAAATAAAATCATAATTTCTTTATGTTCGGTTGGGAACATGTACAAGTAATGAAAACAGACCACAGTGGAATCTCAGTAAAAACATGAGGTTCATTGCATTTCTACACCTCATCCGGCTAATGAAGAGAGCATTCCTATCTCTTAGCTCTTGTGAGGAAGTTAATTAATGAGTAAATTCTCTTCAAAAAGGTTGTTTGGCTGTGCGGTCCCAGCCAATCCTAAAGAGATGAACAAGTCACCAATACCCTGAAAGGAGAAAATTCAGACAAATTTCATTTTCTGCTTGGCTTTTGGGAACTCAGTGCAGAAGACTTTTGGGTGTTGTCATTGAAACTAGACTGGGAGCAGAATGTGGACAGGGTGCCTCCCTTGTTTTTGAAGAAGCGTCATCTGGCTTGCAATTTTAACAAGCTCTGTATCGTCTTGTCATCTAAATGGAGAACAGCAAAGTTCCCTTCAGGCCATCATTCTCCCAATCTATCTTGGCAAGGACCTGTGCTGCATTATCGCAAGAAATCTTTCCTTCCTTCTGTGGCATGACGATCATTGAGCATCCAGAGACGGAAAGCGGCAAGCACTTCGGACTCCTCTCTCGTGTTAATATGTCACCATACAGCTTGTTTATTAAGATTTTTGGTCAGATACAAATGTCCAGCACCAAAACGCACCCATGCAAACATTGAAGAACCACAGGAACGTAGGCGATACAACCAAGGAGCAATTGGTGTAACAGCAACATTTCTTCCACTCCCTGACACATCATTTAATCACCAGCCAAATGACCAACGCAACTTCAACCGCCTCTGCACTTTCTCCGCTGCCTTGGGCCTCTCTCAGAGCCTGCTCGGACTGATGGGCTTTCAAGTATAGGCAGAAGGTCAAACAAACGTGGCTATTTCAGTCCACAGCGGGCATTCCAAAAGAAAAGAGCTGTTTCACAGAACACCCTGCCAGCTGCTCTCACCCCTTTATAACAAAGGGGGACAAGCTCAAGGGGGACTCGACTTATCCTGGAGTGCTGTGGAGTACTGGAGTACTGTGTCCAGTTGGGGCCCCACACTACAAGAAGGATGTGGAAAAATTGGAGACAGTCCAGCGGAGGGCAACAAAAATGATTAGGGGGCTGGAACATATGACTTATGAGGAGAGGCTGAGGGAACTGGATTGTTTAGTCTGCAGAAGAGAAGAATGAGGGGGGATTTGATAGCTGCTTTCAACTACCTGAAGGGGGGTTCCAAAGAGGATGGAGCTCGGCTGTTCTCAGTGGTAGCAGATGACAGAACAAGGAGTAATGGTCTCAAGTTGCAGTGGGGGAGGTTTAGGTTGGATATTAGGAAAAACGTTTTCACTAGGAGGGTGGTGAAGTACTGGAATCGGTTACCTAGGAGGCGGTGGAATCTCCTTCCTTAGAGGTTTTTAAGGTCAGGCTTGACAAAGCCCTGGCTGGGATGATTTAGTTGGGGATTAGCCCTACTTTGAGCAGGGGGTTAGACGACTTCCTGAGGTCCCTTCCAACCCTGATATTCTATGATTCTATGATCCCAGCTATGACATTATGGCATGTGGAGAGTGGTGGTCTTTCAAATAGGCAGGTTTCAAGCTTGCTCAGCATGCTAAACCTTTGCGGAGACATTTTCCAAGAGACGCTGGGGATCTTACACCTGCGTAACACGCAAAGACAACGTGAAACTGTTGAGCGCTCCTTAAAATATTCACTCCTTTGGTGCTGAATCCTACAAAGTGGGCGTAAGTGGGTCTTAACCAGTGCATAGGGCTTCTGAAGGAGTTGCCCGTAACAGGAGAACTTCTCAAAGCTTTTCGTTGTTCATTATTTCTCAAAGGATTCATTGCTTCAGCTTATAACAGGGGCCTGGACTCAATGATCCGGTGTCTTCTAGACCTATGTTCGCTCTTAGTTTTCACATTGTTTGAATCTCAACTTCTGAGCACAAAAATAGTGATTCCCAACGTAAAGCCTGCGCGTGCGCGCACACACACACATATATACACACTGCGATTAGACAAGCAAAGTAGCTGATGTGTACACGATGTACCTGTGCATAGTAATTAATGTGTAAATGGGATGCTGTAGCAAAACAGAAGCATACTTTGATCTTCTTCAAGAGGCTGTCCTTCACCCTCCAGAACTACAGTGGTAATAAATGCCTGGCTTAATGGGACTCCCAAATACCGGATTAAGAGAGATACCCAGGGCTGTAAAAATGCACATAAATCAAAGCCTGAATAAAACGAACACTAGTGACCACATCTAGGTCTTGGTTACACCCATCTGAATCTGGAGTAATAGTTCTAAACATGCTCTACAAAGGCAGGCCAAAAAGAGAGAGAGAATGCGGGTGCCCCAATAGAACTGATTCTCTAGGCGAAGAGCATTCTTACATTTCTGCAGCATGATAGGAGGAATGCTAAATTGTAATCTCCATATTGATTCACTGTGAATAGATCACAGCCTGATTTACTGTTTACCTCCCTCTATTTGCAGTTTAGGACTATCCGAGTTCTAAAATATGGCTAAGGGTTCACTACTGCCAGAACTGTATCCATTCTTACTCTATATCCCTGTACTTGAGCACTATAGTCCACTGCTCACCTGATCACTATCTCTAGGTTTTCCTGATCTTGTTTACACAGGTTTTACAACACACTAACTCCATTGGCATCAGTGGCATAACTACCAAAACATGCTGGTCAAGGGTGGTGTGTGAACCGCAGGCTGGGGGAGGCTAGCTCCCAGCCCGGGCCCTTCCGCCTGAGGCCCTGCCCCTTCCATGCACCCACCCTCTGCTGGAGACCAGACTTGGCTCACCACAGCCACCAGCCCTTGCCCCAGACTAGCCACCCCAGCTCTGGAGCGCCAGGAGGGTGGACGGTGCAGCCCCAGCCTGAGCCGGGGAGACAGCACAGGGGGTGTTAAGGCTGATTCCCCACTCTGGCATTTCGAATGCAGAAGGTGGGGGCCCGCAAGGATTTAAAAAATTAATACTGGGCACTCCAGGCTTGTATTAAACTCCCAAGGTTACAGCTTCACTCTGACATTGCAACTTTAGTTTATGGTGCAGAGTATGTTCAAATGGCAAAGTCCTTTCTCCCTTTTGCTGGGGTTGCAGGACATAACTGGACATCTAAAC